TTCAGATATTAATGTATACGGTTCATTGCCCAGCCTAATTGGGGGCTGGGACAAACCGAAGGCATGGCGGGCTGCAGGATCTGAAGCAGAGCAGAAAATAGGGCTATTTTGGAGAGCTCTTCTCCTTGGGTGCTCTGGTGAGGAGTCCCCGATGCTCCCTCCCATAGGAGACTGAGAGCAGGGGAGGCTTCTAAGGATCCCCTTAATCCACCTCCCAGCACTGGGATCTGGCTGTTTTATTTTGATTTTTTTTCTTATGTGGGTTCTGAGGATCTGAACTTGAGTCCCCAAGATGGTGAAGCAAGCACTTTACCTACAATCTACCCAGTACCTGCTGTTTTTGCCTTTCTGAGGCAGGCCTCAAAGTCATAGCAATCCTTTTGCCTCAGCCTCCTAAGGTTATAGGTGTGAGCCACTAAGTCTAGCTGTTAGTACCTTGATCTAAACCCCAGTAAGATCCATTGTGGACATTTGGCCTCCTGAGCTGGGTGTGTGCCTTTTAAGCCATTAACTTGGTGGTAATTTGTTAGACAACCATAGGAAATAAATTCACAGGTCACTTGCAACAATGCTGGAGGCTGAGCACAGGCAGTGGAGCAGAGAAAGGCATTAAATGCCAGGGGTTGACATGGACTCAGAGACTGAAATGGACACCTAAGGTCAGCGGGTCAGGAGATCCCAGCAGTCCACAGTCCTGTCTCCTCCTCCCGAGATCTACTCCTCACCCCTGTTTCTTTCAGAGAGTCTCTGACATTTCTATCCTGTCCTAGGGAAGACAGAGTGCATACTCTTTAATAGGAGCCAGAGGAGGAACCCCAGGCAGTGCTGCAGTCAAAGGCCTTAGTCGTCAGGGTGGTTGCCTGCTATGGGCACACAGCTTCAGGTACTTTGTAAAAGTTTTGTTCTAGGCTGGGCACCTGGTTACTGCCAGAGAAGCAAAGCCAAGTTCCTGGCTCCAGTTTATCAATTCTGAAGCTGCCAATCATGCTTGCTTAGCCGAGTCTACTTTCAGTCTTTTTTTTTTTTTTTTTGCATATACCATAATTTTATAATTTTAGTTCGTGGAAGTATGCTGGGTGACTAGCTACCGATGACTCATTTCACATTCTCATACGCCTGTTGATATATTCAGTAAGTGCTTGGGAGGACCGTCACCTAATTACAGGCTTCAGAGTGCATTGTTTGCCGGGCCCTATCATCATCAATCAAGGCTTGTTTTATCATCTATTTGAAGCCCTTTGGAGCAACTGATCACGTAGTGGTGAATTACTACCCACAGCTGCCTTGGTATTTGCAAACAGCATGCCTGGTGTCAGCTGCAAACTGGCCTGCATTTTATCCCCTTCATCTTGATAAGGCTGATGAGGGCTGGTTTTGCTTTCCTCTTCCTGCCTTGTGAGTCACTTACAGATTTTTTTTTTTCCTACCAGGCTCACCCTGACTGTCTCCTGTGTCAGACAGCAGCTTTCCTGATAATCAATGGATCTTGTGAGTCTGCAATGGCAGTCCCTCTGTAGAGACCTTTCAGGCTAAAATTCCTGTGGTTGCAGATGATGTGGGTAGCATAGTTTTCAAAATTTCATCCTCACCCAGATTCATAGTTTTCTACACAAAGCCACCAAGAATTGTGACCTTCCTCGGAGCTATGAATGTTAAAATTAATAGAATGTTAAATAAAGAGATAAATAAGTAAATAATAAAAGTTAAATAAATAGAATGTTAGAATTTCCTTTTTTTTTTTAACCTTTCCCTTCCTTTTCTTTCTGCCTTCCTTTCTTCCTCCATGCCACCTTCTTTCTTTCAGTAGAGTTAAACTATGTAGTTCTGGGCTGGCCTGGGACTTGCTACATAGACCAAGCTGGCCGTGAATTCACAGAGGTCTGCCTACCCTGCTTCCTGTGTGCCACTATGCCTGGCTATTTATTTTTCTAGACAAGGCTGGTCTTGAACTTATGGTGATTTGTCTGCTTTTGCCTCTCAAATGTGCACCACTATACCCTGTTTTTAACATATATTTATATATGCATATCTATTTATATATATTGACTCAAGCATTTAAAATTTTGTCTTTGTAGTTTGTGCTTAGCACTTCTCAAGTGCAGGAAGTACGTATTTGCACACCATCCTCCTGTGGTTTTTGTTTGTTTGTTTGTTGTTGTTTCTGAGACAGGGTTTCTCTGTGGCTTTGGAGGCTGTCCTGGAACTAGCTCTGTAGACCAGGCTGACCTCGAACTCACAGAGCTCCACCTGCCTCTGCCTTACCCTGAGATGATCTCATTTTGTAGCTCTGGCTGGCCTGGAATTCACCATTTAGACTATGCTGGCCTAGAACTCAGACTGTCTCTGTCTCTGAGTGCTGGGATTAAAGGCAAGTATCACTATATATACACAGCCTTTCTTCATTCTTGAAATGTAAAAACCATTCTTAGTTTGAGGTTTCTTAAAACAATGTCATCATCAACAAAAACATCAAAGCAAACTGGCCTTGGCCTTCCAGTTGTAGTTTGTGGATCAAGATCTTTGCTTGCCAAACCAATAAAAAACAAACGGGGGTGGGGGTGGGGGGGTGGCGCACACCTTTAATCCCAGCACTCAGGAGGCAGAGACAGGCAGATCTCTGTGTGGTCGAGGGCAGCCTGGTCTACAGAGTGAGTTCCAGGACAACCTCCAAAGCAGTACAGAGAAACCCTGTCTCGAAAAACCAAAAGAAAACAAACAATAATGGCAGTTCCTTATTTTCCTTGGATCTCATATCTACTCCCCAGATAATCCACTCTTTCTGTGGTTATAGTCAGTTTATTCTTGCATTGTGCGGTGTGTGTGTGTGTGTGTGTGTGTGTGTGTGTGTGTGTGTGCTTTCCCCCCCAGACAGGTTTTCTCACTGGGGCGTGGGGTTTGCCGTTTACTTGGGTGCTGGTGCTGGGAATGACACTTGGGAACTTGAGTTTGCGCAGGGAACACTTTCTCAGACAGGCTACCTTCCCTACCCTGAATTCTGTGTTTGAAGAACCTGAGATACTGTACATTTCTTTGGGTTAATGCACGTTCTCATGTGTCGCTCTCGTAAGGCAGAGACCCACTGCAATACAATTGTACTTCCTTTTATCCCCAGTCATCTGCATTGCATTTGTGCAAGGTAAATATTTCCCTAGCAGTGAATAGGTAGTTAAAATTCGGAACTTTTTATGGTCTTGGAACTTCTCCATTTGAATAATACCCATCTAGGTGGATGGTTCGAATGAGGCAAAGGTAGGCAGGCAACTTAGATTGAGTGACCTGGTTACAGGAGAATCTGGGGCCTTGGGAGTGAGGGAGTGGGGCAGGTCCCCACCAGGGCCCTGCCTGTCACAAATAATCTCTTTTGGGATTGCCAACCCCCCTGACCTGCCCTGGAATTTTTACAATCCCAGCCCCTCCTCTGCGGCAGATAATGAAGGAGCGGGCGTGGTAGCTTTAACAGTGTGTACACACACGGGTGTTTAAGGTGGACTTTTCTCATCACTACCATCTCTCTAGATTCCTGTGTGGGAATTCCAGCAGCAGGACAGGAGTTGGGCCTGGGCTCTGGGTTGTGTAGAGATAAAAGAGATACTGCTAATGCCTGCCGAGCATAAGCAAGGGATAAAGGTTTTAAGGTTGCAGTTTCTGCTATGGAACTTTAAAACCAGGCAGGTGGAGTAGAGGTTAGTTCTGATTCTTGGTCCTCTCTGTTTTGGAGCCATCTCAGAGTCTGGATCTGTCAGGATGGCCTTTAGGGTCTTCTGGAAGTAGAATTGCTGCTAATTTCAAATTAATTACTGACTGGTCACTGGCCGGGTTCAGCTGTGGCTGCCACACTCTTCGTGTGCTTTCCCAGTGTTTTTCCTCACAATTCTGATTTTAAAAACCTCCTCCAAATCAAATTTTAGAAGCGAGATGAGACGTTTCATGATCGATGCTAGAGAATAACTTATCATCATCTGCTCCTCCCAAAAGCCAAGGGGCTGGGGCCTGGCCGGAGTTCCAGCGTGGACTACACTGCCCTCTGGTGGTTGTGACCCGCAAGGCAGGCGTGGCCCACGCCCACCCACGTAGCTTCTAGGCGCTGGCTGGGCTGCTTGGCTGGCATTCACTCCCACGGCGCCCTTGTTCGGGTGCCCTCTGCCTCAGCCCTTCTTCCTCTTTCTGCAGCCCTTCTGCACAGACCTCCTATCCCTACTCTTTAACTTCTGATGGTGTGGCCTGGCTCCAGTGGGGCTCACTGATATTAGGACAGATTCTAAACAAAACAGCAACGTCTTTTTGGGCAGCTGATACTATGTGTGGCCTGTCTTGAGGTGGGGCTTGGCTTTTAGACACTAAGGGCGGTGGAGAGGGTATGGGTGAGCAGAGGGAGATTAGGACTGGTAGGGCCTTGTGCTGAACTTTAACATTGATGTTGAGTGTGCTGTATGCTTTGAAGGATGGTGTGTGTGTGTGTGTGTGTGTGTGTGTGTGCTGCTAACCCTTACATGTGATTAAACTCCCTGTGGTAGATTGTACTCATGGAATTGCTTAGCAGCAAGTCAGCTGGGAACCTGTCAAGGGGCCTCTGGGTTTGTAGCAGCCAGGGATGATGGTGTGGCCTGTGGATATGGAGGGTGTGAACAACTTCAGAAGTCTCCTCAGTTGATTGGACAAGCAAGGTCTAAGAGATGCCCATCAGGCTCCTGGCTGGAACAGTATAGCCCAGAGGATGGAGTTAGAATCCAATAATATTTTGGACCAGACTTGGGGAGGGAGGAGTGTTATTACAGGTCTGAGGGACAAGCTGAGCTTCGAACAGATGGCGAGACCTAGCTAGAGGACTTTACACTGTACTGATGGTAAAAAGCAGCAGTGTAGAGGAAAGAGGCCTTCTGGGATTCCTTGTGTGGCCTCCCTCACTTCTGGTTTACTCCACTCATTCCAGGACCAACCTTCTGGCTCCAACAGGTGGATAAAAGGACCAACAGGTGAACACAGGCAAATGAATGCTTGAGGTTTATTGCAGAGAGAAAGGCAGGGCTGGTGCAGGGAGGTCACAGAGGCACCGGGTGAGGACAGGGGCTGTTATCAGGGGAGTATCTTTGCAGTCTGGTGAGCTTTAGACGCTTAAGTCTTGATTACACAGAGGGCTTGTTAGGATTATCTCCTAGAATAAAGAAACAACCCCCCCCACACGTAATGGTGAGTGACCCTCAGAAGTAGATGAAGTACACAGACTTAACAGAGACAAAAGCCACAGTAAGTTCTGAGAGGAACTCAGGGCAGAAGGCCTTGGATGGCTTTCTTAAAAGCCTTAATGATAATAAAAAAGGCAGGCAAAATGACTTAGCTATAAATGCTCCTGCCATCAAAGCTGACCACCTGAGTTTAATCCACAGGACCCACATGGTGGAAGGAGAGAACCAATTCCTTAAAGACTGTCCTCTGACCTTCATGTGTGTGCGTGTGTGTGTGTGTGTGTGTGTGTGTGTG